CCACTTCTCACAGTCGCTTCCGTATTTTTCGAACACGTTAGAAACTAAGGCAAACTCCACGCATCACGACTAATCGGGAAATTTAACCGTTATCCGGTCGTGAACGCACGCATTCAAACGCACACGGCCGATACGGCCGGCAAACCGTGCGAAACATAGGCTGTTGATTCGACGAGATTGTTTTCGTATCTTCAAAACGTTTCAAATAAAAGGATAAGCAAACCGCATTATAAAACTTATAAAAGAAACAGCAATAATAAATTATTGCAGATGTCATTATTGCCATAATATTATGAATAAGTCTTGAACACGTAGCAAAATATTAAATATGAAACTAAGTGTACAACGGTTCGAAACGAATTCAGCAGACATGTATCCTTCCAGAAAAACTCACTGGGACAACCTTGCGACTTTAGCTTTGTGTGCTAACGCGCCATCTTGCAAAGCGTGCGGACGTTTGTTCGAATCCCGGAAACACTCTTTTCTTATGTTTTTGTTTTTTGTATCAGTTTTTATTATTTTAAATGTTTTTTTACCTTTTGTATTAGTTTTTATTACTTTAAATATTTTTTTTTCTCGCCTACTTGTGTTAGTTTTTATTATTTCTAATATTTTTTTTCTCGCCATTTTGCATTAGTTTTTATTATTTAAAATATTTTTTTCTCACCTTCTTGTATTAGCTTTTATATTTTTTAATATTTTTTTCTCACCTTTCTGTATTAGATTTTATTATTTTAAATATTTTCTATGTTTTTGCAGTCGTCGGCACCGTTCTTAATGGGTAATAATCACGGAGAAGGTGAAAACAAAAAGTGCGAGCCTAAGTTTGAATCGTTGCAAAGCACAAACCGTGGCCCTCTTGTTTTGCCGGGATAATTCATAACAGTAGGCAAACAGTACAAGTCCTTTCAAAAAAGAAAGAAATGTAATAATAATGAGCATATTGCGAGCAAAATGGGAAAATGTGTAAGTGGTAAAACTGCCACAGTAATGCAGCTGAAGTTTGTCTGAAAGCGGCCATCTTCACCCACTGTCGAATCAAAAATACCGTAATTTTAAGGCAGTTAATATAGCTGAGCTCATAGCGCGCTACGTATTAAGCACATCTCTTAATATTCTGACTACCGGAAAGTAGTATTTAATTTGTTCTCGTAGATCAGTGCTATCCACCGCGTGCCGCCAGGTTTTATTTATACAGGTTGCGCTCCACAGTTTTACTTTTTTTATTAGGCCTAGACACGTTTTTATTCCTGAGATTCAAGTGCAGCACGGATAATTAAACTAGCTTTTAGAAATGGCATCGTTCAACGTTGTAACAATTATTTTTCGTAGCGTCAAGGGGTCACATTCACAAACCCGGCAGTGGGAACATGCACAATGCAGAGGTGTTTCTCGCTTTTTTGCGTTAAAAAAAAAAGTTTTTATATTCGCGTTCCTCTGGAACGGTATGTCGTATAACATAAGTTATTCAAGCGACAGATATCGTTTGGCTATGGGAACATTCGAAATATTTCTGTTAGATAATCGTAACTAGCACAGAAAGCAGTTGATTCCTGTCTGAAATAGCATATTTTCGCACTCAATTTCGTAGCGTCATAAGCAATAAACACATCTCTTACTTTTCTAGTCTCTGGAAAGTAATGTTTATTATTGTTTTTGTAACTCAAAGCGCGTGCTCAATCATGCCACTTTTTTTTTCTTCATTTTTAGGCTCCGTTATACCGTTTTTATTTTTTATCAGGGCCAAACACCTGCGTATACCACCGGACCTTAAGTATAGTACATCAAATTAAACTAGCTTCCTGAAAAAAGTAATGTTCGGCGTTGTAAAATTTATTTTTCGTGGCGTAGGCGGTCATATTCTCAAATCCTCTGCAGCTAATTTTCTTCACTGTATTGTTTTTTCTTGCGTTTTCGCGATAAAACACGTCAGCCTTGCCATGCTGGGATAAAATACCCTAGCGTCGGCAGTCATTTAGGAAGGATTGCTCAACGCAAACATTTCCACTCGCTATCCATGAATTGCCACAGTTTGTCAGAATCTCAATGACTTGACTTCATAGTGAAAAAGGCGAAAAAAATAAAACGATGCCGGTCATTAAACGGATCTTCCATGACGGGGCTCGCCAGCTTGAACACCAAAGCGCCGATGCCGGCCAGTCACTGAACTTCCATGTAAATACTGGCCATCAAAGGATATATTAGCTTTCACTTCACAAAATAATTTTAATTTTTGTGATTGTCTTCTGTTCAGAGAAATTCTGGATCACGGTTAATATGAAACATACACTTAACGCCAATGTCAAACCTGTCACATTGTTTTTTCTTTCTGTGTTGTCTCAAAATCGTCACTAGCGACGTTTCAGACTAAATGAATACCAGGTTTTCTTTTCCGCCAGCTCTGCATGACAGTCAATTTACCTCGTTTCTTCATACTGGCTACTGCATGTCAGGAACATTGGTGGTTTTGATAGAGCCAAATTGGATGGACATCTGAGAATTCTAACTTATTAGTTATTACACTGAAGGCGACACGTACTGACAGATGTAGCGATGTAGGAGTGTGATAGATTTAGAAACAGACTTTTTTATTATAAGCACGACTACTGATTCCAACCAAGTATCCTTAATCCTAAAGTTAGATTGAACGGAAATTGTATTACCAGATGCACCACTCGCTGAAAGTAACTCTGTCAAATTGCCACAATATTTCAAGATCCGTCCTCCAAACCATACCTGAGAAAAAAATTTTTTTGCGGCTGCTATTGGTTAAAACCAGTTACCGGTAAATACTTTACGGTTACGCTTACGGTTACGTTTTTTTTTTTTTTTGTTTTTTTTTTTAAATTTCAAATAACAATTTTCTTCCTGTTACGGTTACTGAAAATTTTCGTTCCTAAATGGTTTTCGGTTTCGTTTACGGTTTAAATCCCTGCTTTGCGTACCTATATTGATAAAAGCCCCTGAAATTGCCTGCATGTGCACCATAATATAATGTTCAGCATGCAGGCATAAACAAGGAGACCGCAGAAAAGCTGTCAAAGATACTGAAATGACACTTTCCGATTGTGTGTACATCTAGCTGTGGCATCGAATTAGTTCTTGTTTTTGTTTGTTTTATGTGGAGAAAATTATATAAAAAAGGTTATTTGACAGTTATCAAGCAATTATTTAAAAAATAATTAAAAAATAACAAAACGTAGTTTAAGCATAATAATGAACAAGTATTGCAGAGTGCATAAAAATGCTAGAAGGAATCAGATGGCAATGACTTGCACAAAAATCGCCGTGATGTCGCCTTTTTGGCGCTGCATATCAGCTGGCTGTTTTCTGCGGTCTGAGCTTTGATCGACGCAGCAGCCCGTACGTACGGTATCGGGATGGATTGTTTGCAACTTGATATTTCAACCATACGCTTGAAAGTCTTCGGCATCAGGCGGCTGATCCGATTTTCTTTGGAACAAGATATGGCAAAGTATGGTTTGTGCAAAGCGGATATTTTCAGTCTAGACTTTGTCCAATTTGTTTTTTAACCGAATTTGACAAGTAATGGTTTGTTCGAACCGCATATTTGTGTCTGGAATTCCTTCAATTGTACTTTGAACCGGACTCCAAAAATCACGGTTTGTTCGAACCAATTAGGAAAATCACGGTTTGTGTGAACCGGAATTTGACTGTCTGGAATTCCTCCAATTTGACTTTGAACCGGATTAGGAAAATCACGGTATGAGCGAACCGGAATTTGCCTCTCCGGAATTCCTCCAATTTGACTTTGAACCGGATTTGGAAATTCACGGTTAGAGCGAACCGGAATTTGCCTGTCCGGAATTCCTCCAATTGGACTTTGAACCGGATTAGGAAAATCACGGTATGAGCGAACCGGAATTCGCCTCTCCGGTGTGACTCCGGTTTGATCTTAGTCCGGATTTCACTTTCCGGACTGATTTCAAACCGTTATTTTTGCTAGGGAAGCCATAATGTATTCAAAAGCGACGTTTCGGGGGCTAATCTGCTCACCACCGGGCTGACAGTTCGGTGGAATCGTCATGCTCGCTTGACCAGTGAACCTTCTGTCTTGCACCACGTGATCACAACCGCAGAGAGAGGTGTCAGGTGATAAAAACCAGGCGACTAATTGGTTCGGCGAGCACGTAGCTTTTACCAAGCTGTCAGCTTAGCGGTGAACAGGGGTGGGTCGCTGAAGGTCACTAGAGCCAACAGGATCTATCTTCGTTGCTCGAGGGAGTGCCAGCGCTCGCTCGTCCGAGTGGTGGATCGGAACAATGCTTGATTTCCTCTCCCTTTGGGTTTGAAGCTCTAGAAGGAAGTACCTCCCTCCATTTCCTCTTAGCCATCACTTGCAACATGTCAGCGGACGTGAGCACATGAACGATTGGAGACGTCTGCAGGTGACCTTCTGAAAACGAACTGCAATAGGCCTGTTCATCATTTCAAGTTAAAACTTCTTATTAAAGGGGCGGTGCAATGATTTTCAGATTGAAAGAGATTGTCTCTTGCAACTTTTACCTTGTTTATCGTGTCCCGGAGGATAGAGAAAAGATCTCTTTCCTTCGAAATGTTGTGAATTCGCCGCGTAATCGCACAGCGAAAATCGTTGTTCTACCCCCCTCTACAGCCACGAGCGGCAGCTGAAGGAACCACCGAGTGACGTCGTTCGGCAGCACGCTGTTGCATGACACCCACTGTTGTCAGCGGAGAGTTAGTGAAAATTGTGAAAAAGATTTCAAAATAAATCAAAGTTGTGCAATTACGAGCGAAATATAAGGATTACTTTTGATAAATTTTACCGCTTCAGTGTAAATAAACGCGTCTAAGTATAGTATTATCAAAGAAAATGTAGTCTTTCGAGTTTCAGTGGCGCCATCTACTCGGGTTCCACAAAAACCGTCCGCGTGTGGACTTCCAGGCTTGGTCGCACCATCTTTTTCTGGTGTCTCGTGTTCGACTTCGGCACCCACGTTGCCTCGATCACATCGACGATGCCGAGCGCGTGCGGTGTTCCGCGTTGTCCCAACCGGTGTCTAACCGCTGCTATGATCAAATTCAAAAACATTCAGTTCCATCGTTTGCCGGGTGAGGAACGTCTCACAGCTGAGTGGTGTCAGCGCATCGATAGAGAGGATCCCGGTCAGGCAGGGGTGCGCGTGTGCTCCGAACACTTCGACGGCGACCGCGATTACCGGCGTATAGGAAGCGTCCTTCGGGATGCCGGGCAGACTGTGAAGAGAGCTCTTCTCAAGTCCGACGCAGTTCCTTCTCTTCGACTTCCCCCCACTGTGAAGCGTAACATCCCTTCAATGGAGGACCCAACGTCAAAACGCCGAAAACTTCTTGTAAGTGGCGCTCTTATTTCAGTGAACGGTAGACATGGGCATTCGGAATCTTTAGAGCAGAGGTTTACGAAACTTTTCCGATTGCGCAGGACGATGACCCGATTGAGGAGCTGGGCTTCAAAGGGAATGCACCTTGTGAGCACGACTGCCATTGCCGTCACCGACCGACGACAAGCGATGCAGCGGTTCAGGCCGACCTGCAAGAGAAGCCGAAGGTTCCGACCCCGGCTGTTTTGAAAGACAGTTCTGTGGGAACGGATCCAAGGCTGGGAAAAAGATCAGTCGGTAGGGATGAAAAAGACCCCTCCTATATTCGCGTGCTCGGCGTCACATCGTAAAATACATTCGATACAGACTCACAGCCCTGGTTAATCTTCGTCGTATTTGTTTTTTTCGTTGTATTTTACTTTCTAGATCTAGATTGCTGTTAATTGTAATATCAGATGTACAAAATGTAGTGCATGCCAGAATGTCATTTTGCAGAAGCTTGTACTGAGCCGAGCATATGAGGAACCGGATATGTGAACATCTTTTCTCCCTTTAGGCACGCAGGCAAACTCCTATGCCAGAGGCGTCACTAGCCACCACGTTCAGACAGAAGCTTTGGAGCTACCTGGCAGTTGCAGCGCCACTGCCAGCATCAGTACCACCACCACTGCTGCTGTATCTGCCTCCTTCCCCACAACCACCACGGCCACCACCACTGCCCCTCAAATGCCACCACAAGGGACCATCCTGACACCTGCCACTAGCCCAGTCCCAAGTCATTCACACGAGGAGGAGGAGGATGACGACGAAGAGGAAGAGGAGGAGGAAGAGAAGGACGAGGACGACCCCCCGTATGAGCCATTCAGCAAAGATGGCTTTGTCGAGTAAGAGTGGTTTTCCCCTTGGATGAGGCCTAAATTAGAGCGAACATGCACATTGCGTCATGTCGTAAGTGTGAACACAACACCGATTCCACACTGTAAAAATGCAAACGCAGCATCGGTACCTCTTTTCACTTTACTTCGAAATTGTATTGGCTGCACCCAATTTCATGTCCCAAGTTAATGCCCCAAATTCCACCGCACTAGTAGTTTGGACTACATACAACTTTTCAGTTCTAAGAGGAAAAACAAAAAAAAAACCTACCGATCCGTTGTTCGTGCTAACAGGGTCGCGCTGTGTAGCTATTTTGATTTCAGTCATATTTTGTAGCATCAGCATCGCCTTGCAATTGTGGTGTGCTCTACTTATATATGACTTGCATTACATCAAATCAGCTGCCCCTGTAGGGTAGAGAGCTGCACAGGTACGGGTCAGCCCAGCTTGTGGGCCGGGCTCAGGTTTCTTGGCTACTTTCATGAAGGGCCCGGGCCGGGTACGGGCCTTACATTCAAGTCTACAAGGCGGGCCGAAATGGGCCAAGCCAGCCATTACTTTTTCATTTTTTTAGCAGAAGTGTGTTTTGGAAGTTTGGGGGTTGTGAGAGGAACCATAGTAGGGCAGACTCAAATGCTGAAAGGGATGCTGAACCGATATTTGAAATCTCATAATTATTGCTCGACCGGGCTTCACGGGATGGTATTGTACCTAAAAATGATATTCAATCAGACGGATGGGGCCCGAATTATTGTATTTCTTTGAATTAAGAGCGAATCCTCGGCCGAGCGAGCGAGTCCTTCTGAGAGCAGGCGTAACAAAACTGACGTGCGCACTCTTGGCGCCCCCAGTGCCCCTGGTGCCTCCGCGCATTCTCCTCGTTCGTTGGCCTTGATTCTTCGCTCGGCGGCTGTTCTCAAAGCGGCTGATACTAACAATAACAAACGCCACCCGGCTTAGCGCCTGGCTTGGCTTGGCTCCGTCTGTCTCTTGAGGCGAATGAGAATGCGCACGTCACGAGGCGAGCTTTCCTCGACGCTCACCAGGGGTCGCGTAAAATTGTATTTTTCGTGTTTATTCAATTTTATACGCCTTCTCGCTCAAAACAACGTCATTTAGGCGAAAAGGATATGCTATGTATACCATTGCGGCCAAGAATTTCCACCCAAAATTTCGGTTCAGCATGTTTTTGTACGGTTCGGTTTGTGCAGCCGCTGCAGAGGATGCCTTTCCAAAGCACTAGAGGTACGGCGTTTCTTTTCGTCACAGGCGGCACCGCTGCGTACGATCACTTATTCACATCAGCACGCACACATATGCACCTCGCCTGCACAATATGCAACCTTGCAGGCGTAAACCATCCGTACATATGAGTGTGTGCATCCACTATATGGGTCAAGAGGTTCCCCTGAAGGGTGCTTATCCTAAACAATTTCTTGCAAACCACTACAAAAGATGGAAACATTTTTTTTTCTTTTCGTTTGTACTCAGGGAAAGTGGGCAATTTAGAAATTTGTCCGTCTTTCGTCCAAACCATTCGCGACGTTTCTCTTCCTTTTCAACTTCGACATGTGGTTCTGTTTACTGGTGCTTGTCATTTTTTTGTTTCTGTCCTTTCCGCTCGGGTTTGGTTGCAGAAAGGGACGATTGGGGTGATGTTTCCTAACGAGCTGCCTAGGCCTGCAGAATGGTCCAACTAATGATAGCAGCAAAAACAATAAAATAAAAAAACAAAAGAAACAACATATGTTTACTGCATTGACTTTTGGGTATCGTAATCAACATATCTGTAGTAGTGTCAAGCCAGCTGCCATGCCATGTAATTTGTGAGCTATTCACACTGGGCTAAAATAGATGGGGCCTCAGCAAGCCCATGAAAATTAGCGTCGGGCCGGGTTGGGCCGACTTGGAAATCAATAGTGGACCACGGGTGGTTCCGGGCCCAAGTGACCGGGAGCAAGGGCTGGGCCAGGCTTTTAAATATTGGCCCACGCAGACCTCTACTGTAGCGGCTTTCCAGTTGGTTGCTTACCTTCTCAAGTGCATGTTTCACACCACAAAATTGATCTTTCTGGGCAAGAACAGTTAGGAACGATTACTACCATGGTGCATATATGTCACATGCTAATGTATGCACACATTGACACCATCAGCTATATCTTACATGCTTTTACATTTAAATGCAGTGTTTCACCACAGTCCTTTGGCCAGTATCAAACATTCTAGTATTGTCTTCCACAGGTGTGGATGGACGAGCAGGGCAAGCTGTTGGAGGAGCTCCACGACCAGCCCCTTGATCTTGCCGGCGACGGGGGGTGCGACTCCCCTGGTTACTGCGCAAAGTACCTGATGTACTCCCTGCACGTTCCTGGTCTCAACAAAATCTTGCACTTCGAGCACGTTCAGGTGGGAGAGGTGAGGACCAGATTCATCCTCCTCATTGCTAAACCATGCATTTTGAACAGATAATTCTGTTACTAACATGTACAGCAATGCTCACAATTGGTGCTAAGCTGTTAAATTAGCTTGCTGTCAGGTGTCAGGAGTCTGGAGCCCTTCTATTTCAGGAAGAAAATATCCTAAAGGGGCACTGACACGTCAAAATAATATTTTTTTCTTATTATCCGAAACAATTGAAAACGATGCCTGGACATTACAAAAGTATTTCCAAATGCCGAATTTTAAGTTTCCTCGCGATCCGTGGTAGTGGAGTGTCGTCAACTATTGAGGGGTCCTGCAAGTCGAATTTCTTTATTGCCTTCGCCCCTCCGCTCTGAAACGCCGTTGCGTTGCCGCCGAATGTTGCTGCGACCCAAAGCTAGGAGGTGATGAGGGCGGGGGAAAAGGGCGCCGGCACACCGGGAAAATGGTTTCCTGCGTGCGTGCTGTGCTGCCTATCGCTGCGAGCAGAAGACGCTGCCAGCAGAGTCACAACCGAAACTATGATACAGAAACACTAAACCCAGTTGTTTTGACTATTTGACGATTTCCTATTCGAAGTCTGAAAGGTTTTCGGGCACATAAAAAAGACCGCTTTTTTTTATGAGACACAATTTAAGTATCTCAAGTTTAACTTTTACAATATTAGTGCAGTGCATTATATCAAATATTGATAGATTTTTGGTTTCGCCTTGGGATATATTCAGATCAGTGGATAGCTCTTCTTTATTTGTTTTTTTCAATGCTCTTGAGTTATGTTGTAAAAACTTTACATGTTGAACAATTTGTCTTAAAAACAGGCACCAGTGAGTCAACTGAGTGAATAATTCACATAATTAGAGGTCTACATTCAAGTAACCCATCGATATATATGCATAGTCACATTTTCGTAATGCTAAGTAGAATTATTTATAAGTATAAATACTGAAGACCTCTTGATTTTGTCCCTTGTTAGCGTGATTTACGATAGCATAAAATATTCAAAACTTGTTGACAAGTGTTTTTATTTTTTTTTGTTTTTTTGAAAAAGTGCTTTTAAGATCCATGTACCTAGAGGCACAAAAAGATTGCATTGTTAATTTTTCCGTCACACGTGAAGTAATTCTATATTCGTCGCTTGGCTCTGACCTAGCAGACAAGTACACTGTTGTAAAATGTTCAACTATCAGGGGCGTGATCAACCAGGGACTTCCATCGCCGTGTTGCCCTGAGATACCCTTTTCATCATCGTTTGTTTCAAAGCACTCTTTGAAAGCTGCGGGTGTTAATATAATGGACGAGATATCATTTTCATATTTTGAATCTGATCATGTTGATCTGGCAGATTATTTCCCCATTCCTTTATTAGGCGCTGCTGCCTTAAGGTGCCTGCTTCATAAAGTTCTAGCGCCCATAAGACCCCATTGAACACGTACCTGCATCCGCAGCCGAAACAGAAGCTTCACTTCAATATCACTTTAAACTCATATCAACAAAATGCCTAAAGATTGAAGTGTTTTCGATCTTTACACACCTCCGAGGTGATGAAATCCATGTTGATGACTGGTCCAGCCCAGCTCAGTAAACTGTTCAGGAAAGCCATGAAGGCGAGAAAGCTGACGAGGTTGGCCACAATGTTCCCGATTATGAGAAGCCCAACAACTGCTGCGTTGGAAGGAGCCTCCAGGACGTTTTTCTCATCACTGAAAACAGGTAACCATATGGGCTCATATATTTTTATACAGGCGTACCAAATTCTTCTTGCAGAAACTCTCCTTTGAAGTTCATAATTAAAATTTTAATTACTAAAAAAATATTGTCACGGTGATAAATGAAATGATTTAATGTACAAGAGGGATGGGAAGCATTTGAAAAGTGGCAGTTATCAGGATGTCTTCACTTCTACCTCCTCACTTCCTGATCTGTCCGGAGCCACCGAACTTCTTCTTCCTTCATGACATTACCCCCCTCCGGGTGAAAGCGGCGTCTCGCCGTTTGGTGGTAGTAGGTATGGTTTTAGTCTTGTTATATGGACGGTGTCGGCTGAAGATTGGCGTGAGTTTTGTGGTGGTTGTACGGGCTGAACAAGGTAGGTGAGGTCACTTCTTCGGGCGAGGACGCGGTATGGCCCGGAGTAGCGTGGAAGTAATTTTTGTGCCAGGCCCACATGTCTCTTAGGTGTCCATACCAGGACAAGGTCGCCCGGGGAATAGTAGGCAGACCTGTGGGATTCGTTGTATCGAACAGATTGGTGTTGTTGTGAGTCCAGAGTTCGAAGGCGTGCAAGTTGACGCGCTTCTTCGGCTCGACATATGGCTTGTGTGGTGTGGTCGGTGAGTTCGGCATTAGTTGGAACTGGAAGAAGAGTGTCAATGATCAAATTTGGTTCCCGAGAGAAGAGTAGATAATATGGTGAAAATCCTGTTGTGTCATGGCGGGACGAATTATAGGCGAATGTGATGAAAGGAAGAACGGAATCCCAGTTACGATGGTCTGCGGAAATATACATAGCGAGCATATCTGCCAATGTCCTATTAATGCGTTCGACAAGTCCGTTAGTTTGTGGATGGTATGCCGTAGTTTTCTTGTGAACGACAGAACAGAGGTTCAATATTTCGGCAACAATTCGGGACACAAAGGGGCGGCCACGGTCAGATAGAAGTTGTCGAGGGGCACCGTATTTCAGAATTACTTCCTCTAAAATAAATTGCGCTACATCCACGGCTGTACTGCTGTACAATGGCTTGGTGATTGCATAGCGGGTAGCGTAGTCAATGGCAACCGCTATCCAGCGATTGTCCAGCGAGGAAGTTGGGAACGGACCAAGAAGGTCAATTCCTACTCGGTCAAACGGGGAAGCTGGGGGAGTGAGTGGGTGTAGAAGGCCAGCGGGTCGTAAGGGTGGAGTTTTGCGGCGCTGGCAGGAGTCACAGGATGAGATGTAACGTTTGACGGTCCTGTACATGTCGGGCCAGTAAAATCGCTGCTTTACGCGTGCGTAAGTTCGAAGGACACCCATATGACCGGCGGATGGTGCGTCGTGGAGTTCATCGAGAACCGTACTTTGTAGGTGTTTTGGAATTACCAAAAGTAAAGATGGACCTTCTTGTCGAAAGTTGTGTCTATAAAGTATATGGTTCTGGATCGTGTAATATCTGGATGATGGCGAGTTGGCATCGGTGGTCACTGCTTCTATGATTTTTTTCAGAAAGAGGTCACGGCGTTGTTCGTCTGCGATGTTAGGCCAATGAGAGACGTGAAGAATAGGAATATCCGAGTTGTCAGCGGTTTGGTCAACAGGGCCTACGGGATGACGAGATAGGCAGTCAGCATCGCGATGAAGTTTTCCGGACTTGTAGATGACTTTGAAATCATATTCCTGGAGACGTAAGGCCCAGCGTCCAAGGCGGCCGATGGGATCTCTCAAGGAGGAGAGCCAGCAGAGGGCATGATGATCAGTGATCACAGAGAACTGCCTGCCAAATAAGTATGGGCGAAATTTTGCGATCGACCATATGACCGCAAGGCACTCACGCTCGGTTATTGTGTAATTTTGCTCTGCTGGGGAAAGAGTACGGCTGGCGTAAGCTATTATGCACTCCTGTCCCGACTGCTGCTGGGCTAGTATAGCTCCGATGCCATGACCACTGGCATCCGTGCGCAGTTCAGTTGGAGCAGAGTCATCGAAGTGCCCCAAAATGGGACTGGTGGTTAAAGCGTCCTTTAAACGAGTAAAAGCGACGTCCTGTTCTGTTTTCCATAGGAAGGGCTGGTTCTTCTTGAGGAGTTGCGTCAAAGGTTTAGCAATGTGGGCGAATTGGTAGATGAAGCGTCGAAAGTATGAGCACAGTCCAAGGAAGCTTCGGACATCCTTTGGAGACTGTGGTGTGGGAAATTCCTGGACTGCCTTTGTCTTATCTGGATCTGGTTGGATGCCGTGCATGTTGACTAGGTGACCCAAAATTTTGAGTTCGGAGGCAGCGAAATGACATTTTGACGAATTTAGCTGAAGATTTGCTTGCTTGAAAATGTTCAAGACGTGATCTAGGCGCTCGAGGTGAGATGAGAAGGAGTCAGAAAAAATGATCACATCGTCCAAGTAACATAGACAAGTTGTCCACCTTAGGGGTTTTAGAAGTCGGTCTATCATTCTTTCAAAAGTGGCCGGGGCGTTGCACAACCCAAAGGGCATGACTTTAAACTCGTAAAGCCCGTCTGGCGTGATGAAAGCCGTTTTTTCTCTGTCTGAGTCGTCCACGCTGATTTGCCAGTATCCGGACCGAAGGTCGATAGTGGAGAAGTAGTTTGCACCATGTAGGGAGTCCAAGGTATCATCAATTCGAGGTAATAGATACACATCTCTTTTTGTGATCTTGTTTAGCTGACGATAGTCTACACAGAAACGCCAGGACCCGTCTTTCTTTTTAACTAAAACGACTGGGGATGACCAAGGACTTGAGGATGGTTGTACAATGTCTTGTGCAATCATTTTATCGACCTCTGTTTGGATTATTCGCCGTTCACTCCGGGAAACGCGGTAAGGGCTCCGATGTAGAGGTGGATGTGTTCCGGTGTTAATCTGGTGTTTAATCGCCGTCGTTCGTCCTAGAGGGCGACTTCCCAAATCGAAAACGTCGCGGTATCTGAGCAAAAGGTTTTGTATCTGATGTTTCCGTGTGGTATCCAGTCCAGAGTCAATCATAGCCGTTATTTTGTTAAGGTCGGAGATTGGTGGCGAACCTGGGCGATCATGTTGCTGATCCACTGCATTAACAGATAGTGTTCCGGAGAACAACGGCGATGTGATGGCAAGAGAAGTTCCACTTGCAAGAAGTTGTGGGTTCTGGGAAATGTTAACGACCCAGAGGGAAGTGGAACCATTGAGGACGGAAACGATGGAGTGGGCCACACTGAGTTGCTTGGTGAATAATACGTCCATACTTGGAGACACTATATAATCTCCGTCCACAAGAGGGCTATTTGATGACACCTTAACGGGAACCGCTAGAAGAGGTGGAATTCGGCATGTTTCGACTGAACATAGCTTTAAAACTACCGGCTGGGGCTCGCCTGGGGATGATACGTCGAGTTCAATATTTTCTGTGGCGCAGTCAATGAGAGCGGCGTGGGCGGAGAGAAAATCCCATCCGAGAATCAAAGCGTGGGGACAAGTTTGAATGACGGTGAAAAGGACGAACGTTTTCTTGTCTTCTAGGGCAATACGTGCACCGCACATGCCAAGAGAAGATATGAGATGACCATCTGCGCCGCGTAGAGATGTAGAGTCTGGCGGCGTTAAGACTTTATGAAGTCTTTGTCGTAGATCCTCTCTCATTATAGAAATAGCAGCACCGGTGTCGATGAGAGCATATATGGCAATTCCGTCGATAGATACACGAAGCTGATTATGAACTGTTAAGGAGTGTTTGTTGAGAGGGTTTCGGGTCAATGACATCGATGCAGCCTTACCTCGAAAAGCTGCATTGGTTAGTTTTCCGATGCTGCGTGGTCACGGGTCGGCGACATGTAGCGGCGGTGCGCGGGGGACAATGACTGGCGGCGGAGTGGGGACGGAGAACGGCAGTTGCGGGAGGCCATAGTGTATTGGTTGTCGTCTGAACGTGTTGAACCTGGACGGCCACGGAATCGGCCGTCAAAGGAGGGACGATAACCATTCGACTCGGACGATCGGAGGCCGTTGCTCGACCGGTTTCGACAGTAGCGTTGGATATGACCCACGCCGCTGCAATGGAAGCATATAGGTCGATTATCAGGTGTCCTCCAGGCTGCGGGGTCACGTCGGTACGAGAAGTTGCCAGGGGGAGGGGAGTTAGGAGTCTGGTGGACAAGAGGGAAGCGGCGCCCGGTTGTGTATGTCGGTGCGTGAAACTTATTCATTTCTTCTCTTACAATAGCTTGCACAGTTGATATGGGCACGGCGGGTTCCGGTTCAGCAGGTGCATGTAGAGAACTGGAAGGCGACATTGCTTCAAGTTCACGTCGGACAATTTTTGCTATATGATGACTCTGAGAAGTTGGGTCCTCACATGATGATGTTGGTGCTGTGTTCGGGAGGCGGATGAAATTCGCTGTGATGCGACGTTTTTTCGCCTCTTCGAATCGACGGCACTCCTTGATAACTGCATCTGCTGTTGCGCAATCCTTGAAAACTAAAAGTTGAAATGCATCATCTGCAATGCCTTTCAAGATGTGAGGCACTCTTTCAGAGTCAGGCATGTTGGGGTCAGCTTTTTGGCAGAGCGAAAGGATGTCTTGGATGTACGCTATGTATGATTCTGTGGGTGTCTGCACGCGCGAAGCAAGCTTCCGCTTAGCCGAGAGCTTTCGTCCGATCGGGTCGCCAAAAAGGTGTTGGAGTTGTTCTTTGCACGTGTCCCACGAGGTGATGCCTTCTTCATGCGTTAAAAACCAGGTTCGGGCTGTATCTTTGAGGTAAAAAATCACGTTGGCGAGCATGATGGTTGGGTCCCACCGGTTGTGCGTGCTGATGCGCTCATAAAGTAGTAGCCATTCCTCGACATCTTGCTCACCGGATCCGCTGAAGTTTCCTGGGTCACGCGGTTTTGAGAGTACAAGGGCCGGTGATGGCGAAGGAGGAGTTTCCTCGGGTGGGGTGTTCGACGTAGACATCTGGACTGAAGTCGGTAGCTGTCGGTTCCGGAGTTCCAGTGTGGTGTAGAAGAGGTCAGGGGGATGGCTTCGCACCTCCACCAAAATGTCACGGTGATAAATGAAATGATTTAATGTACAAGAGGGATGGGAAGCATTTGAAAAGTGGCAGTTATCAGGATGTCTTCACTTCTACCTCCTCACTTCCTGATCTGTCCGGAGCCACCGAACTTCTTCTTCCTTCATGACAATATAATATCTAAAGTGTCGAAACGGGCGAGTTGGCTTATGACTTAAAATATTAAAGTGCTAAAAGCGCATGCTATAAAAAAAGAGAGCACTGAAGGCTGCGGCAGCCAGCCGCCAATTTTTCTTCATCAAAAGGAGGGTGATTTTATTAACACGTGGTAATGAGTGACGTCACTGGGTGATTCAATGTATTTTTATCGGTCTTTGTTTGCTTCAGTTGTTTTAGAGCGCAGCTCTTAGGGGCCCGTTCCCGGCTTGAGCGGCGTCGCCGTCGCCGTCGCCGTCGCCGTCGGCGTCGCCGTCGGCGTAACCGCGCGGTGCATCATGGGAAATGTCCCATAATGCACCGCGCGAGTCCCCCACCGGGGTCACGTGACCTTGTGGGGGGTCACGTGACCCCCCCGAGGTCACGTGACCCCCCGAAGTCACGTGACTCCCCTGAGGTCACGTGACCCCCTCCTTGAGGTCACGTGACCCCCTCCTCGAGGTCACGTGACCCCCCGAGGTCACGTGACCCCCGCCGATGTCGCGTGACCCCCCGATGACGTCATTGTCACTGATGACGTCACCGGCATCCACATCGTCATCGGCATCATCACTGATGACGTCACCGGCATCGACATCGTCATCGTCACTGATGACGTCACCGGCATCTGCATCGTCATCGTCATCATCACTGATGACGTCACCAGCATCCACATCGTCATCGTCATCATCACTGATGACGTCACCGGCATCCACATCGTCATCGTCATCATCACTGATGACGTCACCGGCATCCACATCGTCATCGTCATCACTGATGACGTCACCGGCATCCGCATCGTCATCGTCATCATCACTGATGACGTCACTGGCATCCACATGGTCATCGTCATCATCACTGATGACGTCACCGGCATCCACATCGTCATCGTCTTCATCACTGATGACGTCACCGGCATCCACATCGTCATCGTCATCATCACTGATGACGTCACCGGCATCCACATCGTCATCGTCATCATCACTGATGACGTCACCGGCATCCGCATCGTCATCGTCATCATCACTGATGACGTTACCGACATCCGCATCGTCATCGTCATCATCACTGATGACGTCATCAGTGACGTCACTGATGTCGTGACAGGCATCCGCATCGTCATCGTCATCATCACTGATGACGTCATCAGCGACGTCACTGATGACGTCACCGACATTCGCATCGTCATCGTCATCATCACTGGTGAAGTCATCAGTGACGTCACTAATGACGTCATCGGTAACCGCATCGCCATCGTCACTGATGACGTCATCAGTGACGTCAGTGATGACATCATCGGCATTGGGGGTCACGTGACCCCCAAGGTCCATGACCCCCTCCCTGGTTAGTTTAACCCCCCCCCCCCAGTGCCCTTCCCTCCTCCTCCTCCTCAAGAGCTGCGCTCTAATTCGGCGTTACAGGGAGTTGTAAGCGGCTTTCATTTTTAGAGCGCAGCTCTTAGGGGCCCGTTCCCGGCTTGAGCGGCGTCGCCGTCGCCGTCGCCGTCGCCGTCGGCGTAACCGCGCGGTGCATCATGGGAAATGTCCCATAATGCACCGCGCGAGTCCCCCACCGGGGTCACGTGACCTCGTGGGGGGTCACGTGACCCCCCAAAGTCACGTAACTCCCCTGAGGTCGCGTGACCCCCTCCTCGAGGTCACGTGACCCCCCGAGGTCACGTGACCCCCGCCGATGTCGCGTGACCCCCCGATGACGTCATCGTCACTGATGACGTCACCGGTACCCACATCGTCATCGCCATCATCACTGATGACGTCACCGGCATCGACATCGTCATCGTCATCATCACTGATGACGTCACCGGCATCCGCATCGTCATCGTCATCATCACTGATGACGTCACCGGCATCCACATCGTCATCGTCATCATCACTGATGACGTCACCGGCATCCGCATCGTCATCGTCATCATCACTGATGACGTCACCGGCATCCACATCGTCATCGTCATCATCACTGATGACGTCACCGGCATCCACATCGTCATCGTCATCATCACTGATGACGTCACCGGCATCCACATCGTCATCGTCATCATCACTGATGGCATCACTGGCATCCACATCGTCATCGTCATCATCACTGATGACGTCACCGGCATCCGCATCGTCATCGTCATCATCACTGATGACGTCACCGGCATCCACATCGTCATCGTCATCATCACTAATGACGTCACCGGCATCCACATCGTCATCGTCATCATCACTGATGGCATCACCGGCATCCACATCGTCATCGTCATCATCACTGATGACGTCACCGGAATCCGGATCGTCATCGTCATCATCACTGATGACGTCACCGGCATCCACATCGTCATCGTCATCATCACTGATGACGTCACCGGCATCCACATCGTCATCGTCATCATCACTGATGACGTCACCGGCATCCACATCGTCATCGTCATCATCACTGATGACGTCACCGGCATCCACATCGTCATCGTCATCATCACTGATGACGTCACCGGCATCCGCATCGTCATCGTCATCTTCACTGATGACGTGACCGACATCCGCATCGTCATCGTCACCATCACTGATGACGTCATCAGTGATGTCACTGATGTCGTGACCGGCATCCGCATCGTCATTGTCATCATCACTGATGACGTCATCAGCGACGTCACTGATGACGTCACCGACATTCGCATCGTCATCGTCATCATCACTGGTGAAGTCATCAGTGACGTCACTAATGACGTCATCGGTACCCGCATCGTCATCGTCACTGATGACGTCATCAGTGACGTCAGTGATGACATCATCGGCATTGGGGGTCACATGACCCCCAAGGTCACGTGACCCCCCCCTGGTTAGTTTAACCCCCCCCAGTGCCCTTCCCTCCTCCTCCTCAAGAGCTGCGCTCTGATTCGGCGTTACAGGGAGTTGTAAGCGGCTTTCATTTTTTTAAATAAATATTCAGTTGAGACTGAGCGCTCGTTCTGTTCGCCTTCACTTTTTTGTCCTTGTATATTGTTAGCGTTTTAGAGCGCAGCTCTTAGGGGCCCGTTCCCGGCTTGAGCGGCGTCGGCGTCGGCGTCGCCGTCGGCGTAACCAAGGTCGAACCAAGGTCACGCGACCCCCAAGGTCATCCCAAGGTCACGTGACCACCAAGGTCACGTGACCCCTCCCCAGGGTCACGTGACCCCCCGCCGAGGTCACGTGACTTTGGGGATCACGTGACCCTCCAAAATCACGTGATACCCCCCCGAGGTCACGCGACCACCTCCCAGGGTCACGTGACCCCCCGCCGAGGTCACGTGACCTACCCGATGACGTCACCGGCATCCGCATAGTCATCGTCATCATCACTGATGACGTCATCAGTGACGTCACTGATGACCTCACCGGCATCCGCATCGTCATCATCACTGATGACGTCACCAGCATCCGCATCGTCATTGTCATCATCACAGATGACGTCATCAGTGACGTCACTGACGACTTCACCGACTTCCGCATCGTCATCGTCATCATCACTGATGACGTCATCGGAGTCTGCATCATCATTGTCACTGATGACGTCATCAGTGACGTCACTGATGACATCATCGCCATCGTCACGTGACCCACCAGGTCCCTTCACCCCCCCCCCCCAGTACCCTTCCCTCCTCCACCTCAAGAGCTGCGCTCGAATTCGGTGTTACAGGGAGTTGTAAACGGCTTTCACCTTTTAATATTATAAAGAGATAATATCTAATTATACTGAAAGCTAATATTTTTAATAGTCCCTTTGACCCATATCACTACGTCAGCAACGCTTTTTCTGTGCGATGCATAGTTTTTGCAGAAATCATATTGCCCGCTTTAAAAAAAAAAAACAGCCTGTATGTTGTTTTGATGAAACACCCGCATCCTAGAGCATATTAAATGGGAGTAGGTGAGACGAAAATAAGCAGAATAAAATAAAACAATACTAAACCATTTCAAGCATTTCGACACAGTCGAGAGATACGCAAACCAGCTTTGAAAAAAGAATGGTTCACAGTACGCGTTTAGAGTAACCGAGTGCGTTGTGCAGTATTGTGAACCCTTGGGATCGCTTACAGCTAAGGCTGTGCCGATTAAAAGTTTTAACCCGATTAATTTTCACTCTTTGATTAATTAATCGATTAATAGGTCCCGGTCATTTCCATGCATATTATTTTGTAAATAGTCCAAATGAATATATTTCTCCTTTTTTTCTGCTGAATTTGGACGAATGCGCCATATACAACTTTAATTATAAATTAACCTCGATGGGTGGCTGAGAACATGTTCAGAAGCACTCACACTCACAGATTAATACTTCGAATGCATGAGAAAGAAATTCTTTATTCTTCGGCAAGAGCGAGCTTTTCTGATTGTTCACAATAGTCTCTGCAGTGCTAGACGGACACTCGAACGGCGTTGAAGTGGCCGAAACACGTGTGACGTTCTGCACACCTCCCCTCCACCCCTTTGAGAGAAGTTACAAATCTGGCCCCACAGTTTAGTTTAGGCTAAATTTTGACCCAAAGTTTACCCTTTATACAGGTGTACACGTGCACGTCTGCGTATTGAAAACTTGCAGTTTTTACTTACTTTCAGTGCGTCAAAAGTTTACCAATTAACGTAGACTTCATTTTGTTCATTTAACCGAGTGAAACCCTAAAATATTTCGGTTTCTTCCCGAGCAGAAATAATTCCGTTCTATTTCTGTTTTTGGTACGACGCACCAGGTTAGCAACGAAGTATTGTGCTTATTGCAGCTTTCGATTTTCTTTGGGATTAGTTTTATCTTCAACAACCTTTATAACC